CTCAGAGCTGTTCTCTCAGGAGCAGTCCTCGAAAGAGCTCTCTCAGCCCCACCTGCCTCACCGGGTGCCTGTTGTGGGGAGGGGGAGGGAAAGGAGATTGTAAGCCGCTCCGAGACTCCTTCGGGTAGTGAAGGGCGGGGGACAAATCCAATCTCCTCTTCTTCTCCTTCATCTTACGGAGTTAATCGAACGATCTTTTGGAAGCACACAGCTCCTTGTCTGGCACGAATCGAAACCCACGCTTTCCTTCTAAGGCCAAAAGCAGAAATAAATGGGGGGGGGGGAGAGAAAGTGCTCGTCCTATCTTCGAAAGCCCGAAGATTAATTTTAGGGGAAAGAGGATTTGGAGGGGAGGGGTGGGGAAGTCTGATAGATGGATGAGCCGAGGCCCCGGCCCATCCCAGCATGCATTCCTGGCCTCTCCTCTCTCACGAACTTTCCTTTGCCTTCGAAGCCCCCGGTGAAACTGTAGCGGGCTCGGAGGGAGGGGGGTAGCAGTCCGGGGGCGCGAGATCTGATTACTCGGGGATGCCACCGGTCGGATCCCTTTACAGGCCGGGGCTGGGATAATAAAGCGGTTACTGTTTTCTCCCCCCAAGGGGGAACCGTTTGAAGCAGATGACATGGATACGGTATCGCCGAGAGATAAAACACGCCAAACAATTAGATGGGAGAGATTACAGGCCTCGGGGAGCCGGTTCGGGTTTCCCTACGGGGAGCGCGCTCACACAGACCCTCCGTTCTGTGGAGGCAGAGACTGGGAGCCGAGCTGTCTCTTCCTTTCTTCTGCATTTTATTTTTTTGCACCGAAAAGAGACGGCTTCTATCAGCCGCCACCCACAAAGGTTTCAAAAGGAGCCGGGTGAATCCATCTCACCCTTTACAGAAGCCCAGGTCTTTTTTCCTTTCTGCTCGGTTCAAGTCCAGTAGCACCATGGAAACCAAGATTTTTGGGGTATATGCTTTCGAGAGAGATAAGAGAAGCCATGTTGGATCAGGCCAAGGGCCCGTCTAGTCCACTACTCTGTGTCACACGGTGGCCAAAACCCAGGTGCCCTTGGGAGGTCCACCAGTGGGGCCAGAACTCCAGAAGCCCTCCCACTGTCGCCCCCCAAGCACCAAGAATAGAGAGCCTCCCTGTCCCAGACATAAGAACAGAAGAGAAACCATGTTGCCTCAGGCCAGTAGCCCATCTGGTCCCACACTCTGGCACAGCCAGAACTCCAGAAGCCCTCCCACTGTTGCCCCCAAGAATACAGAGTATCACTGCCCCAGACACAAGAACAGAAGAGAAGCCATATTGCCTCAGGCCAGTGGCCCATCTGGTCCAACACTCTGCGTCACACAGTGGCCAAAATCCAGGTGCCATCAGGAGGTCCACCAGCGCGGCCAGAACTCCAGAAGCCCTCCCACTCTTGCCCCCAAGAATACAGAGTATCACTGCCCCAGATATAGTGTTCCCTCTATACCTTGTGGCTAATAGCCACTGACGGACCTCTGCTCCAGATGTTTATCCAATCCCTTCATGAAGCTGTCTGTGTTTGTAGCTGCCACCACTTCCAACAGTGGTGAATTCCACCTGTTAATAATTCTTTGGGTGAAGGACATCCTTTTCTCCGTTCTCAGCCTGTTGCTTCTTAATTTCGTTGAGTGCCCCCGAGTTCTTGTAATTTGACAGAGGGAGAAAAGTACTTCTTGCTCTATCCCATGTATAATTTTGTGAACCTCGGTCATGTCACCCCCTCAGCCGTCGTCTCCAAGCTAAAGTGCCCTCACCTCTTTAACCTTTCTTCATGGGGAAAGAGCTCCATCCCCTTAATCATTTTAGTTACTCTTTTCGACACTTTTCTGAGTGCTATAATATCTTTTCGGCGGTTCAGTGACCAGAACAGTACACAGTATTCCAAATGGGGCCACACCATAGGTTTCTAAAGAGGCATCATGATACTGGCTGATTTGTTTTCAGTCCCCTTCCTAATAATCCCCACCATAGCATTTGCCTTTTTTTTAAATCACAGTCACATAGATCTGAGAAAGGGAGCTTTGACTCTTTAAAGATCCTACCCCGTAAATTATGTTGGTCTCTCTCAGCCCCACCTACAGGCAGTGTTCCCTCTAAGCTGAGTTCGTGTGAGCTAGCTCAGTTTTTTAGCCTCCGGCTCACACCTTTTTTCCTTTGCTCGGGAAGGACGACTCCCAAGCGAACCAATCTGTGCAGTAGCCAAGTGGCTCGCTCACAACTTTAATGCCAGTAGTTTACAAAGTAGATTTTCTGTTCACAAGACTCCGCAGCTTAGAGGGAGCGTTGCTCACAGGGTGTTTGTTGTGTTGAGAGGAAGGGAAGGCGATTGTAAGACACCAGTTTGGTGTAGTGGTTAAGTGCGCAGACTCTAATCTGGGAGAACCGGGCTTGGTTCCCCACTCCTCCACTTGCGCCTGCTGATGTGACCTTGGGTCAGTCACAAGCTCTGGCACAGCTGTTCCTGAAAGAGCAGTTTCTGTCAAGAGCTCTCTCAGCCTCATCCACCTCACAGGGTGTCTGTTGTGGGGAGGGGAAGGGAAAGGAGTTTGTAAGCCGCTCTGAGACTCTAAGTGAAGGGCGGGGTATAAATCCAATCTCTTCTTCTCTTCTCTTCTTCTTCTTCTTCCTTTGGATAGTGAAGGGTGGTGCATAAAACTAACTCCTTCTCCTCTTCCTCCTCCTCCTCCTCCTCTTCTTCGTCCTTGTCCTTGTCGCATTTCCTCCATCTTACCTTTCTGTTGTGTATATAAATCAACAAACACACAGGAAACACAGCAAGGTTGAGTAAAATGTGGGAAATCACCATGTAACAACAAAAACAGGGGCACACAGTTCTGATATACTACTATAACTTCATTAGTCAATTAAATTATATACTTATAATAGCCAGTAAAGACGCTAGCGTGACCTGATTATTATAGTGCACTAACAACAGTGGTATAAAGTATACAGATCAATGTAACATTATTCAGTCTTAAAGGAATGTCCAAAGTTAGAGAGACAAATGTGCAGACAAGGTTCAATGTTGCGGCTGTCTTGCTTTCAAAAAAGAGATGCAGCAAAGATCGTGCGACACGCCTCCCAGGCAAAAATGTGTGTTTCGAGGAATTCCTCTTCAGGCAAATTATTTCCCCTGGAACTGGAGCTCACAAATGTTACAGTGCACAAGTCAAGATGTTTGCTGCTTCTCTTTTTATAAGTATTATAAGTATAGATAAAGGTTTCCCTTCCTCGAAAGCCAGTCAAATCCAACCCTAGGGGGCGGTGCTCATCTCGGTTTCCAAGCCGAAGAGCCAGCGCTGTCCAAAGATGTTTCCATGGTCATGTGGCCGGCATGACTAGATGCCGAGGCACATGGAATGCTGTTCCCTTCCCACCAAAGCGGAACCTATTTATCTATTTGCAATTTCTTGCTTTCGAACTGCTAGGTTGGCAGCAGCTGGGGCCAGAGACGGGAGCTCACTCCGTCATGCAGCACTCGGGTCTCGAACTGCCGAATGAGCTCACTCCGTCATGCAGCACTCGGGTCTAACCACTGAGCCACCGCAGCCCCCATTTATAAGTATATCATGTATATAAATCAGCCTGATGGACTTACACTCTAGCACATCTGATGTGAAGGGAGTTCTGACTTGTGAAAGCTGGTGTTGAAATAGATTTTAAGTCCTGACTCATAGTGAGAAAGGTGGGCTATCGATCAGGCGGATAAAATAAATATATTTCATCCTGCCCCTGGGTATCAAGACGCAGCCAACTTATGACGACCCCTAGTGGGGTTTTCAAGGCAAGAGACTTTTAGAAGTGGTTGGCCCTTGCCTGCCTCTGCATAGCAACCTTGGACTTCCTTGGTTGGTCTCCCCTCCAAGGACTAACCAGGGCCGACCCTGCTGAGCTTCCAAGATTTGATGAGATCAGGCCAGCCTGGACCAACCAGGTCAAGGCAAACAAATAGAGTTGGTTTGCCGTTGCCTGCCTCTGTACAGCAACCTCAGACTTCCTTGGTAGACTCCAAGTACTAACCAGGGCTGACCCTGCTTAGCTTCTATGAGGGGCTGTGGCTCACTAGCAGAGCCTCTGCTTGGCATGCAGAAAGTCCCAGGTTCAATCTCCAGCATCTCCAGTTGAAAGGACCAGGCACTACAAAATGGGAAAGACCTCAGTCTGAGACCCTGGAGAGCTGTAAAGAGGGGCTGTGGCTCAGTGGCAGAGCCTCTGCTTGGCATGCAGAAGGTCCCAGGTTCAGTCCCCGGCATCTCCAGTTGAAAGGACCAGGCAGGACAAAATGGGAAAGACCTCAGTCTGAGACCCTGGAGAGCTGTAAAGAGGGGCTGTGGCTCAGTGGCAGAGCCTCTGCTTGGCATGCAGAAGGTTCCAGGTTCAATCCCTGGCATCGCCAGTTGAAAGGATCAGGCAGTAGGTGATGGGGAAGACCTCTGCTTGAGACCATGGAGAGCTGTAAAGAGGGGCTGTGGCTCAGTGGCAGAGCCTCTGCTTAGCATACAGAAGGTCCCAGGTTCAATCCCCGGCATCTCCGGTTGAAAGGATCAGGCAGTAGGTGATGGGGAAGACCTCTGCTTGAGACCCTGGAGAGCTGTAAAGAGGGGATGTGGTTCAGTGGCAGAGCCTCTGCTTGGCATTCAGAAGGTTCCAGGTATCCCCAGTTATAAGGACCAGGCAGGAGGTGATGTGAAAGTCCCCTGCCTGAGACCTTGGGGAGCTGTGAAGAGGGGCTGTGGCTCAGTGGAAGAGCCTCTGCTTGGCATGCAGAAGGGCTCAGGTTCAATCCCCAGACTGAAGCCGCTGCCGGTCCGCGTAGACAATACAGACTTTGATGGACCAGGGGTCCGATTCAGTAGAAGGCAACTTTGTATGCTCACGGTCTGATGAGACCGGGCTAGCTTGGGCCGCCCAGGTTTATACGCCCTGCATTTCCCCCCCTAACCCTATCCTTCCTTCCTTCCTCCACTTTCTTCTGCAGCCCTAAAGAGGTCATTCGATATGGAAGATGCCGAAGACGTCCCAGCTTTCTCTCCCGCCGCCCCGCCCCGCTCCCCTCTTGGCCCCAGCCTCCCTGGCGTCATCCTAGCCACCGGCAACGGAGAAGGGAGGCGAGCGGGCGGTCCCGTCCAGCCCGGCTACCCGTCCCACGTCAGCCTCAGCTCCGATCCCAGCCCGGCTCAGAGCCCCGTCCTCAAGACCAGGATCACCAGCAGCCTCTCGTTCAACCGAGGCACCGTCCACCTGGCTCGGGCCAACGGGAGCCACCTCACCCGAGTCTCCTCGTTCCAAACCCGCCTGAACCCCAACGGATTCTCCTCCTCCTTGGGGCCCGGTAGCGACAACGAGAGCCTCCACAGCTCTTCCTCCAGCTTGGAGTGCCCGACCCAGGTCAAGAGCCTTCCGAATGTGACCCCGCAGTCCGAGTCCCCCGGCCTCGGAGTCTCCCAAGGGCCCAGTCCCGCGCTGAAGAAATTCTTCTCGCACGGCAACGTCTTCCACACTGAGGCCGACCGGCCCGTCCAGCCGGTCCCCAAGGCGACCGCCAACTGTGGCTCGCTGCCGTCGCTGGACCTGCATATCGCCGAAGACCCGGGGGCCGTCCCCGGCCTCGGCCCGACCTTAACCGCCGGCCCCGCCGCCACGCCGAGCCCCGGTGGCCAAAACTGCGTCGCACCTCTGTCAAAGACCGTCGCGACAAAGGAATCTCCTGCCCCACCCTTGGAGATCTGCCAGTTGGCACACGGGACCCCCCCTGCCTCGGCTGCCAGGCAGACAGTCAAGTTGCAGAAGTTCCCCATCAGCTTAGACGGTTTGATTGAGAAGACAGATGAAGCGGCCGTTCCGGCACCCGCGCATGACTTGGCACCGAAGCCTTTGCCAAGGACACAGATCCACGTCAATCTCAGCACCAGTCCCGGCTTGCCCCGGCAAGTCAAGGAGATAACCAAGGAGGATAGAGCTGTTCTTGCAGGCACTGGTCTCACGTCACCCTCTCCGGGACGGCTTCCCGGAGCAGGAAGTTCGGCGTCCCCTCCTCGGCCTGCTTCCTACCGACTCGTCCCGCCACCTCAGACAGGGCTAGTCGCTTCCCAGCAATCCTTTCCAGGGGCCCCACCGAAGGGCCCTACCCAAGGGACCCCAGCCCCAGCTGGCCCAAGAGAACGCAGCAGTGCCACGGCTAAGAGGTTCGATTCCAGACCCAGCCAAGGGGCGTCCCAGCTTCAGACTCCCGCGCCTGCTTCTTGCGCAAAGGAAGAGCCCCTCACGTTGGCAAACAGACCTCTGGAGGCCTCTCCTGGGAAGAAGGAATCGGAGAGGAAGGCCTTGCTGAAGGAAGGTAGGTGCGAATAAGATCGGAAGTGAGATTTGACATGGAGGCCTGCCCCTCACCTAAACCTCTGGAGGCGTTTTGGGAGGCACAGGAGGAGAGGTGCGGGAAGAGGTACACTGAGCCCGATTTCACACAAGAGCTGCGCTGCGGTCGCGCCTCCCTTTGCCCCGCTTCTATTGGTCAATTTCCCACTCGAAGCCACACGGCCGCATTTTGACCCGCGGCTTCGCCCGATTTCCCCCGCGGTTCCGTGATCCTGTTTTTTGAGGATCACGAAACCGCAGGGAAAATCGGGCGAAGTCGCGGGTCAAAATGTGGCCGCGCGGCTTCGATTGGGAAATTGACCGATAGAGGCACGCCAAAGGGAGGTGCGACCGCAGCGCAGCTCTTGTGTGAAATCGGTCTGATTTTCATTTCTACCTATGGCATTTTTTTTGCTGCCCTTTCGCTCATGTCTCGGGATCCGTGGTCCTCACCTCCTTTTGCTTGCGAGAGAAACCGAGTGTCCCTCGGTCAGTCTCTGAGCTTTGCGTGGCTTGAATTTGGGTCTCCTCTGTCCGAGTCTGAAATGCTCGCTGCTGCACCACAGTGCGTTGCCCTCCCCCGTTGCCAGGTTTTCAAAATAAGCTTAAAAAGTATCACTAACAACTAGCCGCCTGTCCCTGGAGGCTTTTGCTCATCTCCCAAGTAGATCTTGCTTTATATTGCAAAGGGCTCAACGTGCCCTTTGTCAGACGCCTTTCAGTGTCCGGTTCATTTCCACTTCATTGGGGAGGAAAATAGACCTTTAGGATTGTTCCGCACATTACGTGGGAGCGAAAATTGTTTCTCAACAGAGAGCTGCAGCTGATCTTTGCTCCCGAGGAGCATTCCTGTATGATATATGTGTTTCCATACACCAGTTTGTCCGATTTGTTATTACATGCGTTCTATTTCATTTTCAGGGCCAGACTAGGTACCGGGCTGCCTACTAACAGATAGTTCATGCTTTCTCTTTTGACGTTGTGCATTTTCTTTCCTGCTGTAGCTCCAAGGATCTCAGGGGAGGTATAAGGGGCTCTCCCTTCCCCATTTTATCCCCAGAGCACCCTTGCAAGGTAGGCTTGGCTGAGATAGGGACTGGCTCGAGATTCCCCAGGGAACTTGATCATGGCAGAATGGTCACCAAGTAAGTGTGTGGCAAGCAAGACTTGAAACCCGGGCTTCTTGGCTCAGAGCTCAGGCTCTTAACTGTTATTTTGCAGTGATTTTTGCCAGAAATCAAATTCTGAATTTCAGCTGTTTGGGAAGCCTGCGTGGCATAGGGCTTAGAGAGTTGGAGGAGGACCTGGGAGATCTGTGTTCAAATTCCTGCTCAGTGGTTGACCTTGGGCCAGCCTTCGTCTCTTTCTCTGTGTCTCTCAGCCTCCCCTACCTCTCAGGGCTGTCGTGAGGATAAAATGAGGAAGGGAGAAAGAACCATGTGTGGCTCCTTGGAGGCAGGGGGACATAAAATGGCAGGGATGGGCTGCTGATTTCCTTCCGGTGAGAGGAAAGCACTCAGAAACGCTTTCCCTTCCTGCTTGTAACTGGGGCTCAGCCTTTCTCCCAAATCGCAGCTTGGCAAACCCGGTTTTTGCTTTCAAACACCCTACTTTGCCCCAGGCAGTCAATTTTTAATTACGGGCATGTTAAACAGCGTAGGGGAGGCAGGGGGAACCCTATCTTGCAACACCTTTGAAAGGTACACTTGGCACAAACCCCACCTAAAGAAGGAAACAGTCACCCACATTTCCTTAAACTCCCGGCCTCCATCCCGTCACCATCTGTTCCTAGCCTTCCAGCAGATGTGGCAAGAAAGCTGGCCGAACCGCCCCCCTGCAAGGATGGCGTCAGTCCCTTGCTGTTGCGGCTTCTGGCGGGGCCCCAGCAACGTCGCTAGAGGGCTGACGTCTTCAGGCTGTGAAGAGGCTTAATCCCTGAGGTCTCGCGGGACGGAGGGCTGTTTCCCCCAGGACCTGTCCTTGGCCGAGGGTGGACAGCGTTGCAGCTTGTTTTTCCTGGCACGGCCCCCGTGCCTCTAAAAACTGGACGCCGAGCATTAGTGGAACAGAACTCTTGGGTGTACGCCATCCAGAAACGGTGACCGCATTTGTAGCTGGTCCTAGTTAAAACACGCAGGCAAATGTAAGCTTGATAGTAATATATCTACGTGCTGCCCTTGAAAAATAAATGCAGAACTGCTCGTCCAAAACATTGTGAGGAGTGGCAAGTGAATTCTATCTATCTATCTATCTATCTATCTATCTATCTATCTATCTATCTATCTATCTATCTATCTCTATATATCTATCTCTATCTCTCTATCATCTCTCTATCGTCTGTCTCTCTATCTCTCTATCTCTCTATCTCTCTATCTCTCTATCTATCTATCTATCTATCTATCTATCTATCTATCTATCTATCTATCTCTATCGTCTGTCTATCATCTATCTATCTAATCTATCTATCTAATCTATCTATCCTGTCTGTCTGTCTGTCTGTCTGTTGATATCTAGATAGATAATCTAGGATTATCTATATATCTAGAGTATCATTATCTAAAGAGATAATCTGGAATTATCGATCTATCTAGAGCGTTATCTGTCTATCTAATCTAGAATTATCTATTTGTCTAGAGTGAATTATCCATCTATCTAGGATTTCTTCCCCTCCAGCCATCTTCAGAGCAGCATACGTGGTTCTCCCCTCCTTCCTTCTATCCTCGCAACAACCCTGTGAGGTAGGTTAGGCTGAGAGGGGGGGTTGGCCCCAGATCGCCCAACGAGCTTCACTGTCATGTGGGGATTTGAACGCAGCTTCCCCCAGGCCCTACTCTCACACTCTGACCCACTAGACCTCACTGGCTGTCACATACTTCGGTTCAAACTACGCGGGTCGATGGAGATCTACGATTGGCTCTCCAGATGTGTAAATGAAGCTGTAGAAAGTAATCATACAGATTGGGGCTGGGGAACCTAGAGCTGTTTCCCTGATCGAGAATCCAGCCCCTCCCCGTTACTTTACAGTACGGGAAAATGATGGTCAGAGTCTCTTGTTGTACCCATTTTTTATCCTGTATAGGCTTAAAGCACCCGGGGGGGGGCATTTTGATTAGGAAAACAGTACGGGGGAAGTGGTGACTACTCTCCCTTGCGCCACACTGTGGTTCTGATCCATACTGGGCTCCCCCACCCTCTTTGTTACAGCGTCACATGGAAATCTGTGCCTTAGATTGCCTAGGGGACGGTCAGACCTGTCAAATGGAAAGTCTGACCCGGCCCCGAATCCTCTGCTGCATGCAGGACTCCGTGGCTAGCCCCTGGGATCCCTACAGCAGCTTGGAAAAGGGGTTTCCTTTGAGAACTTGCTTGCTCTGACCCCTCCAAGCCCAGCTGTTTCCCTAGAGGAAGGAGCCATTCAGCTCGGCTATCCTGTATTGTGTGTTCCAGCTCAGCGAGAGACCCTGTGTGTTTGTGTGTGGACGAGTGTCGGTCTTCCCCCTCGGCCTATCATTATTTTCCCCTCAAGCGCCCACCACACCCTTCTCGCTGGCTGCCTTTCTCTTCAGAGAACGCTGGCTCAGTTTTCAGTGTGTGTGTGTGGGGGGGGGTTGGGACATTCCCCGCACGCACTCGCTACGCCTGCCATGAGTGATCCTTTTCCCTTGGGGTCAGCCACAGTTTCTCCTCATAGCTCACCAGTGAGAGAGATCTCACTCGGCGACTGGCGACGAGGGGGAAATTCGCTTTCCAAAAACTTCCTCATAACTGAGGCAGGGAGAAGACAAAGCGGTTCTCTGTTTTTGGCCTTGCTTTGCCGTCACATCCGGGTGTCTCTGTTCTCTGTGGGGTTTTTTTGGGGGGGGTGTCTGGAATGCGCCGTTGCCACTCGGGGGGGGGGTTCAGACAACCAATTTGTGTGGCGGCGCCCGGTGCGATACGCTTGC